TTTTTTTTTTTTAGCATTTTATTGTTCAGGTGAAAGTTTATAGAGCAAATTAGTTTCCCATTCAACAATTTATACACAGCTTGTTTCCTGACATTGGTTGCAAACCCCTGAATGTGTCAGCACTCTCCCCATTCTCCCGGGGGCAGATACAGATTTCTGACGTTAGGTTCATTAGATATAAAATAGGATTTTAAAAAATATTAGTCACTTCTTTGGGTACTTTAATGTTCTTATATCTTTGGTCATATTTGTGTAGATTCATTAATAAGTTCTGGTTTACTTGATTTAATCATTTTCTATCAAAAGGCGTCTCATACTCTCAAATCTTCTAGTCTTTTTCTTTTTTTGCAATTATTGTTTTAGGGGATACACAGTAGGATTAATTCTTTTTGTTGCTTAGCTCCATATACTGCTGTGAACAATCATATTCTTTTTAGTGCTTGCTAGACTTTTTATTTATGTATGTACACCTAACAAAAGGGAGATCACACTTTATGCACTGTTTTATAACGTACAGTTTTTTTAAATTTAGCTGAGTTAATAAATGTACAGGCATACCTCGTAGATACTGTGGGTTCAGTTCCAGACCACTGCAATAAAGCGAATATTGCAAGAAAGTGAGTCACATGAATTTTATGCTTTCCCAGTGCATATAAAAGTTATGTTTACACTATGCTGTAGTCTATTAAGTGGGCAGTAGCACTGTCTGTAGAAACAATGTCCATATCTTGATTAAAAAATACTTTATTGCTAAAAAAATGCTAACCATCATGTGAGCCTTCAGCGAGTCGTAATCTTTTTGCTGGTGGAGGGTCTTGCCTTGATGTTGATGGCTGCTTGCCTGATCAGGGTGGTGCTTGCTGAAGATTGGGGTGGCTGTGGCAATTTCTTAAAATAAGGCAACAATGAAGTTTACCACATTGATTGACTTTTCCTTTCACAAAGGATTTTTCTGTAGCATGTGATGCTGTTTAATAGCATTTTACTCACAGTAGAACTTCTTTCAAAACTGGAGTCAATCCTCTTAAACCCCGCTGCTACTTTATCAACTAAATTTATGTAATGTTCTAAATCTTTGTTGTTATTTCAACAATGTTCACAGTGTCTTCGCCAGGAGTAGATTCCATCTCAAGAAACCACTTTCTTTGCTTATCCGTAAGAAGCAATGCCTCATCCGTTAAAGTTTTATTGTGAGATTGTAGCGGTTCGGTCACATCTCCAGGCTCCATTTCGAATTCTAGTTCTCTTGCTATTTCTACCACATCTGCAGTTACTTCCTCCACTGAAGTCTTGAACCCCTCAAAGTCAACCACAAGGGTTGGAATCAACTTTTTCCAAATTCCTGTTAATGTTGATATTTTGACTTCATCCCATGAATCATGAATAGAACATCTAGAACGGCATCTAAATAGTTGTTGTTGTGTTGTTAGGTGCCATCGAGTTGATTCCAACTCATAGCGACCCCATGCACAACAGAACAAAATGCTGCCCCGTCCTGTGCCATACTCACAGTTGTTGCTATGCTTGAGCCCATTGTTGCAGCCACTGTGTCAGTCCATCTTGTTCAGGGTCTTCCTCTTTTTCGCCGACCCTCTACTTTACCAAGCATGATGTCCTTCTCGAGGGCCTGATCCCTCCTGATGACATGTCCAGAGTATGTGAGATGTAGTCTCACCATCCTTGCTTCTAAGGAGCATTCTAGTTGTACTTCTTCCAAGACATATTGGTTCACTCTTTTGGCAGTCCATAGTATATTCAGTATTCTTCGCCAGCACCACAATTCAAAGGCGCCAGTTCTTCTTCAGCCTTCCTTATTCATTGTTCAGCTTTTGCATGCATATGAGGCGATTGAAAACACCATGGCTTGGGTCAGGTGCACCATAGTCCTCAAAGTGACATCTTTGCTTTGTAGCACTTTAAAGAGGTCTTTTGCAGAAGATTTACCCAAAGCAATGTGTAGTTTGATTTCTTGACTGCTGCTTCCATGGGTGTTGATTGTGATCCAAGTAAAATGAAATCCTTGGCAACCTCCGTCTTTTCTCCATTTATCATGATGTTGTGTATAGGGTTGCTATGAGTCGAAATCAACTCGACGGCACCTAACAGCACAACGACAACAATCTAGATGCCATTCTAGATGTTCTGTTGGTCCAGTTGTGAGGATTTTTGTTTTCTTTATGTTGAGGTGTAATCCATACTGAAGGCTGTGGTCTCTGATCTTCATCAGTAAGTGCTTCAAGTGCTGTTCCCTTTCAGCAAGCAAGGTTGTGTCATCTACATAACTCAGGTTGTTAGTGAGTCTTCCTCCAATCCTAATGCCCCATTCTTCTTCATATAGTCCAGCTTCTCAGATTATTTGCTCAGCATACAGATTGAATAGGTATGGTGAAAGAACACAGCCCTGACACACACCTTTCCTAACTTTAAACCATGCAATATCCCCTTGTTCTGTTCGAATGACTACCTCTCAATCCATGTACAGATTCCTCATGAGCACAATTAAGTGTTCTGGAATTCCCATTCTCCACAATGTTATCCATAATTTGTCATGATCCACACAAATGCCTTAGTATAGTCAGTAAAACACAGGTAAACATCTTTCTGGTATTCTCTGCTTTCAGCCAGGATCCATCTGACATCAGCAATGAGATCCCTGGTTCCACGTCCTTTTCTAAATCTGGCTTGAATTTCTGGCAGTTCCTTGTCGATATACTGCTGCAGCCGCTTCTGAATGATCTTCAGCAAAATTTTGCTTGCGTGTGATAGTAATGATATTGTTCAATAATTTCCGCATTTGGTTGGGTCACTTTCTTGAAAATAGGCATAAATATGGATCTTTTCCAGTCAGTGGGCCAGGTAGCTATTTTCCAAATTTCTTGGCATAGAACAGTGAACACTTCCACGCTGCATCCGTTTGTTGAAACATCTCAATTGATATCCTGTCAGTTCCTGAATTGGTGAATCCTCTTGAGAAGGTTTTCAATTTACTTTGCCCAGATCAATCAGAGGAATCACTATCTATGGCAACTGTAGCCTTACAAAATGTATTTCTTATAAGTAAGACTTGAAAGTCGAAATTACCCCTTGATCCATGGGCTGCAGGATGGATGTTGTGTTAGCAGCATGAAAACAACATTAATCTCCTTGTACGTCTCCATCAGAGCTCCGGGGTGACCAGGTGCGTTGTCCATGAGCAGTAATATTCTGAAAGGAATCTTTTTTTCTGAGCAGTAGGTCTCAACAGTGGGCTTAAAATATTCCATGTTGTAAACAGATCTGCTGTCATCCAGGCTTTGTTGTTCCATTTATAGAGCACAGGCAGAGTAGATTTAGCATAATTCTTAAGGGCCCTAGAATTTTCAGAATGGTAAATGAGCATTG